AGAGAGAGAGAGAGAGATGCAGAGCAGGGGACGCGAGGAACAGTATTAAGAACCGCTGCTTTAGAACATTGATTTTGAAACGTGTGAATCCATTCGAATCGTTAGAAGACAGAATCATGATTCATATATGAATAGATTTTTACGTGCACCTCTAGTTTTCTCTTCCTCTTCTCTAAAGCAGCACAGGCCTCGCCCCCTTTGCTGCCTTTTCCCGGGGGCGGGGTTTATCTGGGTTTTGTGATGTCACGAACCCATGAAGTAACTCGTTGTAGTCCCTACCAGCCGTTTTTGTAGGAACTTTAAAAGACGATATCTCCGTTTGCATTGAACTTTCACCTTCGTAACTTTGCAGATATTGTTTATGCTCAAACAGCAACATTACACACTAACTAACGTTAAAAAAGTGAAATCGCAATGAACCACCCCTTTAAAGGAACAGTTCACCTAAAAATGAAAATTCGGTAATTTACCCTTCCTCAAGTCGTTCCAAACCTGCACAAGTTTCTTTCTTCTCTTGAACACAGAAAGGAAGCTATTTTGAAGGGTGTTGGTAATCAAATAGCTGACGGCAGCCATCGATTTACATAGTATTTTTCTCCACATTATAAAATGTTAATGTGTACCGTAAACTGTTTGATTACCCACATTCTGCAAAATTTCTTTTTTTTGGTGAACTATCCCTTTAACATTCATATAACCAAGAAAAAATGTTTTTAAAACATTTAAAAACATTTAAATAACAATAGAATGTTCTTTGACGATATTTTTGTTAGCTGCATGATTAGTGGTCTGTGAGGGTTCTGATCAGGTCTGAGGTGTGGGTGTTGACGCTCATCATGTGTGCAGACGTGTGTGTAGCGTCGTGTGTGTTCTGTGTGTGTTTGTGTCAGATGTGGACGAGTGTGAGGTTCCTGGCATGTGTATGAACGGTCGCTGCGTCAACACCGAGGGATCGTTCCGCTGCGAGTGTATGCCGGGACTCGCCGTGGGGCTCGACGGACGCATCTGCGTAGGTGAGTGCAGCCACACACACACACACACACACACACACACACACACACACACACACACTC